TCGGATCCGAGCTGCGGTGCCTGCCAAGGAGTCCGGCTATGCCTCCCACCCACCACCCACCTCCTGCGGCTTGAGAAGGGTGGGAGGCATGGCCGACTGTGCTTGCAGCACCGGGCACCTCTTCCGCTGCTGCAAGCACAGTCAGGGCAGCCCTTTGGGAGAAGCCAGGTGGTGGGGGAGAAGGCAGGAGCCGATGCCGTCTTCCCCCCCTCCCCCGAGGCTTCTCCCAAAGGGCTGCGCCCGATAGTGGGGGAGAAAACCGGATAATCCGTTCCTATTGGAACGGATTATCCGGTTTTCAATGCATCTCTATGGGAAAACACGTTTCACTTAACGATGTTTTCCCATAGCGATGTTTTTTTTGGAACCAATTAACCTCGCTATGCGAGGCACCACTGTACAAGAGCTCTTCCAATGATGCTGAGGTTCAGAAGCAGAGCATTGTGTTAGAAGAGATAAAAAGTAGCAGTTGGTGCTATGCAGATTGCTTGCAATAGATGCTGGCAAAACCTGTTTCAGTCATTCCACAACTTCATGCTGGGGCACATGTTCTTAAGTCCTCCTGTTGTTTATTCTTAACTGCTGTATAAGGAATTGGTAGGGAATATTTTGCATGTAAGCCAACAATTTAAATTTAACAATATTGTAGCTCTCATCTGCCAGATGTTTGGGAAATCCTGAGCTAGACTTCTTAAAAGCTTATGCAAGTTCAAGTCAAATTGAAGGATGTTGTCCTGCATATTTGCATATCCCACTGCAAAATATTGTATATATAGTCTCTTTTTTGTACAGCGATGTTATTTAAGAGGTCTTGAAATACTGTTTCAGTGTTTGTCCTTGATATTGCAGAAGCAAATTCTAGGTGTCAGACACCAATCAAGATGAAGCCAAATATTGAGCCTCCTGAAAATGTTGAGTGGAGTGGTGCAGAAGCTTCAATGTTCAGAGTTCTCATTGGTACCTACTATGATAATTTCTGTGCAATTGCAAGATTAATTGGGACCAAAACTTGTAGACAGGTAAGAGTGAAGAAATGACTAAAGACTGTTTTCAAAAGCAGTAGCAGTATTATATGCCGTTAAGGTATAGCATACTTTGAAGTGGTTTACAATTCCTTTCTTTAGGGGCTACTGTGGGTACTGTGCAACTTGCCCAAGGCCACACAGGCAGTAGTAGTGTAGAAGTGTAAATATCACTTTTCTAGAAACTTTTGTGTTTATTAACTATTATCTAGAACAGACTTAGTGAAATAAAAGGAACATAAGTTATTAGTTTTCCAAAGAACCCCTTTCATTCAAATAGACCTACTGTAAGTAGAACTAATGTTGGGTTTAGCCTGCAGATATAACTTGTATTAGTAGGAGAAATGTTGTCACATATATTTAATTTATTTAAAATATTTTTACCTCACCTTTCTCCTTAAAAAAGGGACCCAAGGCGGCTTACATCATTAAAAGACAGTATGTAAGGCTAATAACAGTAAGTATACAAATACTGAAAAGATCAGACAAATACCACACTAAAAATAGTAAACAAAACCAATCCCAGTATACATTCAAAGCAGTAAAGTACAACAATCAATTTAAAAAATCCCACTCAGGCAGCCAGTCACTCAGGGAAAGCTTGCCTACAGAGAAAGGTCTTTTCCTGCTTGTGGAAGGTCAGCAGAGATAAGACCAGCTTGGCCTCCTGTGGGAGGGACTTCCAGATTCTGGAAGCAGCAACAGAGAAGACTCCCCACCCCCCGGTCCCCATCAGATGTACCTATGAAGGTGACAGACAAAGAGAAAGGCCTCTCCTGATGAGCTTAACACCCAAGCAGGCTCATAAAGAGAGGTGTGGGTCTTACCCCTGTCCATGGGAAATGGCTGGCTTTTGTCAGTGATTTCTTAATTACAGGACTGTTAATCTTTTTACAGGTGTATGAGTTCAGAGTAAAGGAATCTAGTATTATTGCTCCTGCACCAGCTGAAGATGTTGATACTCCTCCAAGAAAGAAGAAGAGGAAACATAGGTAAATCAATTGAATATCACTCATCTGGCAAGCCAAGAATTAAAGCTATTTAAGAGGAAAGAATACATAAAGACCATAATATAAAGAATAATAGTCAAAGATATGTTACTTTTATTATTGTTTTAATTGCTTTTTCTCAGATTTAAACATAACATTTCCTGTTCGTAAATAGGTATTAGGGATGGAACTTCTGGATTTTTTAGTTTCCAGCTTCCAGAATTCTCCAGGAACTCCCTAGACCAGAGGTCGTCAACCTTTTTCCTACCGCGGACCGGCTGAGCCTCTGAGGTGGGGCGCTCCCTTGTGCTCGCTCTCAGACACATGTGCAAAGCGGTGGGGGAATGTGCGAGCAAGAGGCGCGTGTGCACTCTCCCACTGCTTCGCACATGCACAGGAGTGCGTACCCACGACGGCAGCATGGCTGAGCATGGCTGGGGTGCTCCCTCCAGCTGCTCGCCTCCCAACGGGCTCCAATGAGGCCAGGGATGGGGCTCCTTGCTGCCCTCCGAGGCGGGAAATTCAAATGGCGAGCAGCAGCTGGTCACAGTTCGGGAACTGGTGGCACCAGTGGCAGCATCGGCCTGCTGAGGGTGGTGAGGAGCGCCGGTCCCAGCCTCGTTGGAGCCCGTCGGGAAGCGAGCAGCCCGAGGGAGCAGCCTGGCCATGCTCGGACTCCCAGGCTGCCACCATGGGCACATGCTCCTGTGCATGCGTGAAGCGGTGGGGGAGCGCGTGTGCGCCTCTCGCTTGCACATTCCCCCACCACTTTGCACATGTGTCTGAGAGCACCCGGTCATGCCCAACCTCCCGGCTTTGGGCCACTCCTGTTGCCGCCGCCGGGCCACAAAGACAGACCTCCCCTCCCACGGACTCCTCTCCCCACAGCTGCTTTGCGCTCACGGGCTCATGCCTGAAGGGGTGAGGGAGCGCTCATGCTGGTGCACGTGCGTGGGCAAAGCAGCTGTGGCGAGAGGAGTCCGTGGGGCGGGGGCTGGAGGTCTGTCTTTGCGGCCTGGTTGGGCTCAAGCCACGGACTGGCAATGGGCCACGGACCGGGGGTTGACGACCTCTGCCCTAGCCATAATTCTATGAGAATTGTATGCCCGGAAACACACAAGACCTACATACAGATTTGTATTATTTACCTTCACCAATACCTTCTTTGGCACTTTCTGTTTTCAAAAACAAGCTGCCTGGTGCTTCCCAGAAGGCATAGGATGGCAAGACTATATTTCCTAGAAAGCTCTGCACTTCCCAGGAAGAACTGGGACAGCTTTCTTGATTTTCAAAGTAGAAGCTTCTAATGAAGAGGCCAGCTTCACCCCATCGATATTTTTCTGTTCTCCAACTGATGGTCAAAATCCTGGAACTCCAAGAGACCTCTAAGCATGCTTCATTGTACCTCATTGTACATTATATGTGTGTGGATTTTGATGTGGGAGTCTTTACTTTTTGTTCCAATTTACAAACTTGCATACTTATACTTATCTAGAGTATGTATTGATGTTATTTTCTATTTTGCTACCTTGTTGTTTTATGTTACTTGTTGTAAACTGCCCAGATGTGGCAGTATATAAATGAATGAATGAATGAATGAATGAATGAATGAATGAATGAATGAATGAATGAATAAATAAATAAATAAGAGGATGTTTTAAAACTAGTGGCCAGTATCCTGTAGCTCTATGATTGGCCTGCAATCAGCTGCATGAGCCACAGAATCGAAGAAGGAACTCTTTAAAGACCAGTAGTCTCTTCCACTGGATGATGTTATGGCAGCAGCAGATTGCTGATAATTTAAGAGCTCCTGATTCGATCTCTCTGTTTGCCTGGCTTGCACACAGTGAAACTGATTGCAGGTGAGTTGCGGGGGAGGGGGTAGTGGCAGATCAGAAAAAGAGGCAGAAATTCTTTAATTACCTTCAGATGATGTCATCAAGCTTACATGAATGTCATCTATGCAGATTTTGGGCCAGTATCTTACTATTTATGTGATTCCCCCCCTTCCAAACTGACTTTGCTATTCCATTTTTGATTTTTTATTCTTTTCAGTGGGGGTAGAATTATAGGGAATGGAATTTAGGCTTAAGGGGGTAGGTATGGATAGGGAAAGGGTAAAACTCTCAAGAGTGAGGTAGTACGTTTACATCAACTTGTACAATTGTACTAAAAAAAGATAAAAAGAAAAACAGCAAATTTTCCAGTATTAGTATAGTTACTAATCTATATTCCCTGATTAGACTTTCACATTCTTCTTTAATCTATGCTTTCCAGACTATCTTTCAAGTCTAATTATGAAATTATTCCCTATATATCCACCAAACAAAATAAAAATCTCCTCATGTTTTACCGTTCCCACAATATTTAATATGCTGTCCTCTGAAGATGCCGGCCACAGAGACTGGCGAAATGTTAGGAAGAACAACCTTCAGAACACGGCCAGAGCCCGAAAAACCCACAACAACCATTTAAAAACATCTTTATATCTTTTTTTAAACTTCATTGGCTTTGTGTAAATCATATATTGTCTATAAAACATTTTATCTGCATTTTCTTAAATAGTTATTGATTTTTAATATTATTCTACCATTTTGTACCATTTTATACCCATTATATCTTCAAGCATTTTATTCATTTAGTCCATTTTTATTGTTGATGGTTTTTTTCCTCCTCCTGGATCCTCTTGTTTCTATAGTGCACTTTCCTTTAGGACTTCTTGCTTACTCTTCTGCTCTAGTCAAGCTTCTTTTGAAAGAAAGGGTCCACTTCATTTCTCCTCTCCTCATTTCTCATCTGGTTTCTTTTCCTTTTTTCTGCCCAGCCACCTCTCCTTTGTTTTCATAAAAGCTTTTGTTTTCGGTTTTAATATAATAACTCTGCTTCTGGAATTCAAAGAGGACACCTTCAGGCACCAACCACTTATACATAATTGAGTTAGTTCTTGTGGTGATCTCCTCCGAAGCCCCTATTCCCCAGGCCTTCACAAGGTTCTCGCCTTCTTCCTTCTTCGCTGCCACCAGGTATTGCTGTCTCAATACCAATCATTCAAGGAGACGTGTGTAATTTTAAAACTTAACTTATTTATTTGATCAGGGAGGGTAACAACTGATTAATATTTGATAAGTAAATCACAGGTTGATAATCACTTGAATCTGAATCAGTACTACCATTCAGCGTCCTCACAGATCTCTCACTCACTCTTAAGTTTCACACAGTCTCTCAATACCAGAATCTCTCTCACTCACAGAAACTCTCTCTCTCACTCACTGAACTCTTCTCATACTCCATACATCAGCCTTTATATCCAAACCCTCCCCCCTTGGCACCGCCTTCCGTCCATTCATTGGCTCCTTCTCCACTGCTCAGCTGTGACGGACAGGTGAGGGCAGGGCTGTTCGCTACAGTTCTCAAGAGGGATATCAACTTATATTATCTCCTTTTCTGTCCTATTTGCCACAGAATATGTTTCAAAATCTTAATTTGTTTATCTTTTCTATTTGGTTCCTTGCCTTGTATAGTTCTTAAAATTTATCTCAAAAGATCTTTCTCACAAATTTAACATGAATTTCTCTGGGGAGATTTTTATTCCTGGTATATGCTGTAGTAATTCTTCGTGCTGTATCTATATTTTGTTGCACATCCTCTGGTCGCATCTCCATGAGTGATGCTAAATAAGTAGTAATCACTTGGACTGTGTCTTCTTTTTGTTCTGGTAGATTCTGGAATTCCAAGTATGGCATTGGCTCTTTCCATTTGTAGATTTAACAGAGTAATTTCATCTTGCTTGCTTTCCTGTTTCAGGTCTCCCATCTCTGTATTCATGTTCTCCAGTCTTCTGTTCTTTTTGATTTCGGAGCTATTCTGGATATTTGATTTTTATTTTCTGTAATTTGATTTTTAATATCAGTCATTTGCATCTATAACTTTTTCATTTGTACATGTAACTGAGACATCCCTCGTAGTTGCTGTAGCCCTGTTGCTAACATCTCTTGAATGCACAGTTGCCAGTCTTTAAATGACTGCCCCAATATCCCACTGAGATTCTGTTCCTCTCCCGTGAACCTCTTTGAGTTTTCTCTTTTCCACCTTTTGTCGCCATATTGATTGGTTTCTCCTTCTTAAATTAAGTAAATAAGGAATGCCATTTAAGTCTTCTGTCAGCACCTGTTTTCTTTTTCTTTAAGGAGTACTGTTTAAGTCTTCTATCAGCAGATGTCACCTTACTTTTCTTTCTCAGTCTTATATACATGTCAGAACCAAGAGGGGGTGGAACTTCCCTCTGGGTAGAAAGTTCTCAGAGGGTAGGAAGAGGGCGGAGGAGCAACATTGCCTAGATACAGCTCCCGCTTCTGCTAAGATAAATGAAGCCCTAAACAAGACAAAAAATGACTCCGTACACACCAAAGGGGGAAAGAGTTTGAAGAAAAGTTGACACACTATCAGTCCCGGTGAGGAGAAGCAGGAAAAGGAGAGAAAGAAGAAACAGCTTAGAATTGAAAGCTTCTTTCCTTCCAAGGGGGCTACAGGCAGTATACAGCAGTATTAAAAGCAGGTTCTCCTTCATGGCCTCTGTGAATGCACACAACTGGGTTTCTTCTGGGCCTGTGCAGGATGTTTCAGAAGTTTCTAGAGCTTCTAAAAAAGATTTGACAATAAGATATTCCTCTTGGGGTGCAAGCTCCGCCCCTCTGATCTTCCCCTCAGTTCCTTTTTTGCCACCCCGAGGTCAGGACGTTAGGAATATTAGAATGATAGAGAAAGGAAAGTAGAGCTTATTTTTTTGCTAAATTTATCATTTCCTATCATTATCACCCTATTAAGATCAATATTAGTTGCTTCCCGTCGTGATGGATCATTTCCCCTTTACAACTGTTTTTTCGCTTTCCCATTTCCCCCTCCCCCCAAGAACTTTTCCCCTTTTCCCCTATTTTATGGCCCCTCCAGGATTCAAGAGGTGCACTGTTTGTTTAAATAAAATACCTCTTAGGGACGGCCACGAT